GGTAATGGGGCCAAAATCTGACTGATTTTCTTGTTTTTTACACTTATGCCACGCATTCAAAGCAACAAAAAAAAAACTCTTGCAACTACAAGAAATAATATGCTACAGTTATTTGCCTGAATCAATCATTTATCGACAGAACAAAATATGTTAAAGAAACTGTGAAGATCAGATTGAATTAGATTAATTAGAATAAGATTTTTTTAACTAAGTCTGAACCAGTAGGTCCCATAAGTCCCAGGAGTCTATCTTCCCAGGACTCTATATTAGCCTCATGTGGTAAAACATTTTTCATATTGTTCTCATTTCAGTTCAATTCCTTATTTATTTTGTGGTGCCTAATTTCCTTTTTGTCTCATTTTTGCTCAGTTTCTGTTTAATTCTTTTTTTGCGGAGAGTAGTACTGTTACCAGTAGTTGTCCCTAGATGTCCTCAGTTGCCTCTGAATCTTGATCTTCATTGTTGCCTCATAATTCCTCTAGCTGTAGCTCATCTCCTGTATGCAATAATGCATTAACCCCACCACGCACACACACATATGTATATATATATTTATTTTGTTTCATTGGTCCTACCAAATATTCCTCTCCAACATCTCCATTTCTGTCATTTCTGGGTCTGTTCTAGCCAGCATAGCTACCCACCCTTACAGTTCATTTAAAACAAATCTGTTGTTTTATCACCCTTGTCTGCCAGTTGTGTGTCTTGTATTGGATTTGGGTCCTTCTCCTGCAATCATGGATTGTAACTGGCTGTGGTGTAGAGTCATTCTCAATTTCCTAATTTACATTTTGATTCATTTTCTGTCCACGCAACAGTTTTTTCCCCCTCTTTCCTCACTCCATTTAAATGAGCCTCAGGACAGATAAGAGAGTAGTGTTTCTGGATCGTGTTCACATGGGGCATGATTGGGGTATCTATGGTAGAACCATGGCTGCTTTTCATGCCCACCACCCGAGGGTCACAAGATCACAGGTATCCAGTACTGATTTTCAGCCATGTCCCTTGGTCACCTGGATGATTTTCAGAATCTTTGGATGGCACAGTGTGCTGTAGATGGTGGGCTCCAGTGATCAATTGAGTGTCACCAAATCAAGCAAACAATATAGACAGGTGGAGGAAACCCGAGTTCCCCTGAGAGAACCCAAGCATACACAGGAAGAAAGGATCTCAATGTAAAGCGAATTGGCCGACCACCATGCAGCCCCTTAAAAGAAAAATGCAAATGGAATTATCTCCGAATGTTTAAGATTTGAAATGACCCTGACATTTTTATTGTGCTGTCTTTAAATGTCAGTTGTGTTTGTTCAACGCCCGTTTGACTCTGCATATGGGATATACAAGAGCCTTTACTAATGGTAATTTATTGTATACTGTGACTAAATGCTACTCATGGCTGATTAATGTCTACATTCCTGGATCTGCAGGACAGGGTTAAGGTTAAAATACGTACCTTTGATACTTGCCTCAACAGTATTTTTTGCCATCAGAGCGACCGATTCAACCGTGGAGTCGTATTCAGCTGGGGGACACCAAGGTATTGACACGAGGTTACACCATCTGGCTTCTGATCCTTCCCCGGTCATGTATTCACATTGAAATCAGGCTGCATTACTTGTGACCTGTGTCTCTGCGAGGACTTTGAAATGAACCCATGTATTCAGTTATTCTAATGACCCAGCTCTGCTTCGGGGACTGAGTTTTGGCTTCAGAGCTCTGTGTCCATCTTGTTTGCATGTTTAACATACTTTAGCACTCTTGGAACACTTAAATACATTGCGTGCTTTCGATGAGCATGACATTTATAGTTCATACCGATGGGATGCGGGATGGTATAGCTGGTCAATAGACATTACAATAAAAAGGGCTCCATATTTTTATTCGTTTTAGTGGGTGTATTTTTTTCTCCACCATCTTAATACATTTGTTTGCTCCGTTAAGCTAATTTGAGTCTTTGGTTGCCTGTGCCTTCACGAGGTAGACCCAAAATGTTTCCTTTTTTCTCTCTGTGTGTGGGGATCTCAAATCGCCTGCTCACAATGTTTTCTGCTAACTGAGAGCCATCAAAGCAGCAGGAAATTGAGACACCTACTGGGACATAAATGACCCGATATAAGCTACACATAAACACACAGTTTCATGTCTTCGGGCAAGCTAGTCCAACTCTGAGTCTTAAATTTGGATCGTTTTTTAGGTAGACTGCTGAACAATGATGCCATACCCTGACACCAATGTGACGGGGCGACGAAGAAAAGGCAAAGAAAATGTCGAGTGTCAACCATAAGCACACTAAACCTTATTTTATTGCTATCATTCATATTCATACACCAAATGAACATGCATAGTCATGTATTTACAACTGGTTAAGCAAACTGATATGTCAACACATTTACTACAGTGTGTAAATACATTTGACACAAAGCCAGCCTGGAAAGTCTTGAAGCCCGAACTGGCATGTGCCACGACAGGGAGGAAAATCAGTCTTCTGGATACAGTTTTTCCTTGTTTTTTCCCCCCAAAAAATAGCTGAAGTTACTTTTAGTAATGGCACTAAATGGCCTAGAAATTCCAGTTAAAATACAAACTGGGAAGAAAAAAATGAAATAAAATAAAAAAACGGAAGCCAATGTTTCCTCATGTAAATCCTTACAATCACTCAGCGGTTACCAACATCTCCAGAGGAGCTCTAAATGTGGAAAATGAAAAGGGGAGGTGGCGTACAGCAACTGGGTACAACTGGAGACCCCAAACAAAAGGCAAAAAAATGTCCAATCCTGTAGTGAAGTTCTCTGTGTGAACATCCAAACTCTGTTTGGGATTTCTAATGCTCAGTCGCATTTAAAAGCAAACTGAATTTAAGAAAAGAAGAATGAACAAATGCTACACTTGATTATCATGCAGGAAGAACATAAACCAAAGGAAAATTCTACTTTTCCTATATAGAGCCAGGCAAAGAGAGCAATCAAGGTGTAGGTCGGTGGCCTATTCTAAAATAAGACTCAAAAGTGAAACGTCATAAGCCAATGAGGCATGAATATGCGAACACTAGTCCAGCTTTTCATCACACAGCAAAAACTGTTTCTCAAAAAATTAAACATGTGAAGTCTGCAAATTATGCTTCACTTTAGAGTATGTCACAACAATATTGAATACGGATATTTTAAACAGAAACCATGCACCTCCGTTGTTCAACTGAATCCCCTTTTCAGTCTGAAATATAATTTGTCATGATCATCTGCTCATGGCCTGCATGCTATATCAGAATTCTCCTACGAATACATTAGCAAACATGTCCTAAACATAGAAATAAATGCACTTAAAAACTAAAAAGGAAAAGCCCAAATCAGTTCTTTGGTTCACGTCGCTGTAAAGTGACCAAACTGAGACACTCGAACCTGACAATTGCAAAAAGTTTGCAGCTAAAAACTGCAATGCATGTCCAGATACTATCCAGTGCGGCACATGCACAGAAGATAGCATCCTTTTGAAATGCTTAAGCAACTGTGTTCAGACCCATCTGCAATTCTGATCACATAAAGCTCTGACTGTTGTTCCGTATATTTGAAAAGTGCGGCGAGAAACACTGCCAACAGCTCCTCCAGTGCGAAATGCTGCATATGTTGAATATATATCAATATAACATGGCACCAGTCTTTGCAGATGTTCAGAACTGAGACATCTGCCTGTGCCTTTCCTTACAGCTGCCAAGTCAACTTGTAAACACAGTCAAAACAGAGAGGTGTGTAAGTCGACAGAAATTTGAGAAAGACGGGAAGCTCGTCAACACAAATCATAAGAGTCCATTAAAACAGCTATTAAAACGAACATTTTTTTTGTTTTCTTACCTTTGAGCGTGGGTGAGGTTTCAGGGTAAGTTTGTTGGGATCATGAATGCCTGCAAGTCTATTTATATGTTTGATAGTAATTCTTGTTTTGATTCAATAAGCCCATTTTAAATTTCTCCTTAACCATAATGTTTTTCAATTCCATGATGTCACTACTGTTTAGGAAATGGTCCCATTTGGATTTGAACCTAGTAGGAAATGAGGAGGGTTTTCCCCCTGAGTAATACCATAAGATATCACTGTGTATGATGACTTTAGCTGCTCTGCCAGATTTAGAGAATACTAGTTAAGGGAAAGAAGACCACTATGCTTGTAGAGCCATGTAAAAAGCTCAGGGTTAAACGTGACTGGAAAGAAAACCATAGCGCTCTGGGAATAACTCAGAGTGACGCGGAGATTTTCACAACTGACAGGAATGAATGTCCCCGGGAGATAGGTTTATAGTTCCTAATATTCCCCGTTGTGGTAATACATCTTTTTCACCGTTCCTCTGCTGTCTGTTCCTGTCCTTACTTTCCTCTGAGTGTTGGATCTGCTGGCAGAAATGGAAGACGTGGTCATGAAATATCAATGAACGGCCCCATCACTAACCCACATTCAAAACTGAATGGGAATTTGCTCTTGCTCAATAGGGCTGGCAAAAATCTGTCACAGAGACTTAAATTACGGTTCCATCTCTCTGTTCTAAGGTTTTGAGTTGCAGAGAACAAAAAAAAAAAAAACTCTTAAAGTGCGGTAAATTCTACATCGGAGGAGCAATATCACGTCACATACTGGAATACACTGCATTTATTTATTAAACAAAAACCAAGCCAAAGTGCGAAAGCTGTCAGTGAATGACTAATTCCACCCGCACGGCTCCGAGGGAAATTAATAAGTCACAGCAAGGTGCTGCTGTTAAAATATCCTCGATTAACTGGCAATTAGTGAGTGTGAGCACATCATTAAAAGCTGAATTTATGACAGTTTGCCTGGCACATTCAGGAGAGTGACGGTCCATCATTCGACATCGAGATGGGTAATTTATGAGTGAAACACTCATGACAGCTGCCAATCTTCACGCTCATAGAAGCCCCATTGAGTTCACCCAATGGTCCGACAGAGAAACTGTCTAATGCCCCAGAGTAAGTTGACAGACACTACAAGGCTACGGTTAGCAAACCATTTGTTAATGTTCGTGGTGCCAGAAGTCTGAAAAAAGAGCAATTGGCCTCGATCAGCAGAAAAAACCACAAATCTTTTGACCCGGAAAACATCAACATAAACAGATCCCACCGACTTTAACAGAGTGGTGGAAGCCAGATGTTGGACCAACCGTAAACTGGTCTGTGTACCTTAGTCAAATCTGAGGCCAGCCTCCTAACAGCCATGAGTCGGACAGAAATAAAAAAAATTAAAAAAAGAATCAAGGTCTTGCAACAACCTAGAGTCCCAGCCTAAATTTGGATATTGTACTTAAATGTTGGCAAATCTCTATGAATTACAGGAATGTTTCATAAAAAACTATGCAGAAATCATTCCAAACTGACGGGAAAGACTGTTACAATCATAAATTAAGCCATAACCTTTGATCACAGCCATTAAATCCGTTTCCTTTTTTAATTGATGGTATTACATATTAGGATGTACTTAGTTTTTCACACGTTTTTGCACTGTGGCTTAGTTTTTCTTAAATAAATGATGAATCCCAGGTTGTATTTATCCAATTAAAAAAACTAGCAAGACACTGAAGACTTTTTCTTATATGATGTAACATAAAACCTTAGAATGCAATGAAACCACCAAAGACCACTCGTTCTCTTTCGACGCAGTTTTTGAAAATATTTTTGGTTAGTAATTTGGGGATGAGACAGGTCTTTTTTCTTTTTTTTTTCTTAAAGAAACCTCCTCTAAAGTTTGAAGTTGCGATCCAACGCAAAAAAATGAAAATATTTCAAATGAAGCTGTACTCATAAGCATCTACACGATTATGCTACTAAACTCCTGAATCCAAATGTAGAAATTGTACAAACTCAGCTCAGAACGAACCCAAGTAACATTTCCTGTACATACATAAATACAGTTAAATACACTTGTTTTCTACACACGCTCTCAGTCTTACCCTCCGGGACACATGCTGCACTCGAGCAAACACTAGAAATACAAATAATACGTCCAGTAGAGCAAGTTTACGATTACGAAAGACAGCGGGAAGCTGACTCTGGAGTAGTTGTCTATGTGGTAGGGGTTCTCCACATGACAGAAACTTATGGCGCCCAGGATTTTGCGGAGGGTAGCCAGGACAACGAGGCACCGGTTGGTGGGCTCCGGGGGGGGTGCCTCGGGCTTGGGCTCGCTGCCCGTGGGGCTGGATGGCCTGACAGCCAGCTCCGTCGATGAGGGAGCCGAGGGAGGGGTGGCCGCGGGCTCCTTGCGTCTCTTGGCTCTGGACTGAGTGGAGATGGTGGTGACGATGCCGTTCATTTCGTCGTCCATGTCGTGCAGGTGGTGGCCGTACTGTCGGGGGGGGGGGGGAGAGAGCCAAGAACGGGAACGGAAGCGCAGACGGGAAAGCCGAGTGAGAAACAAAAATGACAATGATTGTGATGGACAACGGCAACCACGCTTTGCACTTTAACAACATCATTTGAAATAGCCAGCTGGGGATTTGGGCTTTAAATCTGCACTTGATCCTCAGAGATGTGAGGTCAGACAGCCTTAACGTTTGACAGAGGCTATTTGTAAAGGGGAAGCACCAACCAATCAGAAGGCTGGGTTGGGGAAGAAAGTTGTTATTTGGTTTGATTGGGGGAAAAAAGAGGCTGAGGAGACACGTTTTCTTTATCACGACAATCAAAGACGATTCTGTTATGTATTATCCATTTTTACGCATTACAGTATCCCATTAAATATACCAGAGATTAGTCGGATCCGCTGTTATCATTTACAAGAAAACTGCCCCAACCATGTAGCCATTAGACAGTGAGGTTGAACATTGACTTTTGATAAGTCGCTGCCTTTTTTTTTTAATGTCTTTTTTTCTAAACCCAATAGAGCAGATAGCCCTACGTTAGCCATGGTGCCCCATGGTACCTACCATGGGGCCAGACATGGGCAAAGGGAAACAGACCTGTGTCTTCCTCTGGCAAAGAAAATCCTCATGCAGGCTGTGATTCCTTTACCCTCCGCACTCTCATTTAAACAGCCGGGTTTGCTATTACTCAAACTTATCAGGACTGACATTGTTCTACCTATTTATCTGGCGGGGAACAGCAAGTGTGAAAGGAGATGATTAAAAAGGAGACGGATCAAAAACAGGGGCTGGGAAAACCCATGTGGGAGGGTCTCACCATGAGCATGTGAGCGTCGGCGTGGGTGAGGATGCAGAAATGGGCCACGGCGTACTCAATGAGCGCCCCAAAGATGAAGCTGAAGCAGATGCCCAGGTAGACATCGATGGCCTTGATAAAGCAGTTGGCATTGGGCAGCGATGTCCGAGCTCCCATCATCAGAGTGGTCATGGTCAGTACTGTGGTCACACCTGGAACACAACAGACGTCTCATTTCTTCTCAGAATAAACCTGACCAGGACTGAATAAGTTTGGTGTTTGCAGAGGGATAAGACTTTGTGTTTGTTTGTTCAATAAAAATATTTGTAAATAACAATTTATAAGATAATTATCGGCTGGTAAAGTGGCTGAGAACTTTGAAAATGTGCAAAATGTTCTCACTCTGGAATCTCTCCTGCCAGGAACCAGGAACTAGTTTGCATTAATAATGATTATCCACTTAATGTAAAATAAAACAATAATAAATTGTGGTATCACATAAAAGACAATAGTATTATGTCATTATAGCTATTGAAATGAACGTGCTAACCAGCTAGCACACGTCTAAATTTGTCTTGTTTTCCTCTATGCATGACAAAGCAATGTTCTTTAGTCAAACACAAAAAGAAAACAACGCCGCTCTGAAATCCCTGTTTTTGTCGCCTGTGTGATTCCAGGTTCTTAATGTTTTTTCTGTGACTGGAATAAGAAACACAGGCCGCTCAAGCTTGTAGCAAGCACGCGGTGGCGGATAGCTTTAAGAAGATCTGGGTAGTCGAGGTTTGTCTTTAAGCTCAGCATGAACCGCCAGTGTACACAATGTGAACGTCTAGCATTATCATCAGGCAGCCAGTCCAGCAGGTCCTCCAGCAGCTTAGTGTCCTACCGTTTATCAAAGGAGCACAGCCGTGGCTCTTGGTGGTGCTACTCTGGAAGGCACAATGAAAAATGCTGCCCTGTTTACGATTTTTGCATGTGCCTTCTGAATGTGACCAGCAGTTTGTAGTGAGGAACAGATTAGATCAAATGAAGAAACAAGCACGTTGGAGCCGAGCTCAGCCATTAAGATCATCAAAAATTCCTCTTCCACTGCTTGTTCTACGAAGTGGAACATTCTGTTTAGGCCCCTCTAAGGAGTGTTGGATGTGATCCAGATTGATATCTAGGTTAACGTGTTCGCACGATTGAATGCAAATGTCAGAAAAACTCCAAAATTTTAATTCAAACTATCAATGGACTATTGATTTGATAATAGTAAAAATCACAGAGCATTTATAACTGATTTAAGGCATGTCCTTATGTCAAAAGGACACAGTTGCTGGCAAGGTTATGATACAGTAGACACAAATGACGTTACATGTTCATTTAATGTTGTTTTCATGATTCAATAAAGGAAACAAACAATGGAATAGACCTTACACCGATCTTATCTTAACTTCCGACACAGGGGACTTGGTGTTCTCTTTACTATTTAAGTGAGCAGCTTGCAGTCATTGCCTCCACTATCAATTTTGCATTACATCCAAGACTGCTTAAGGAAAATTTGCAGCCATCTGTCTGGAAGTTTTGACCGAAAAGGAAGAAATGTGGGACGGCAAAATCATACCCAACAGCAATGCCATTGGAAAAAAGTTTGTGTTTTCTGTGTGTGTGTTTGCATTCATGTCAAATAGAATTGAAAAAAATTAAAAATAATAATTAGTGATGGATATTGAAGAACAGTTTAGAAAAATTCAATGAAGTCAGAGGTGTGTCATGAGTATGACATGTGTAAGTCAGATAATAAAAGCAGACAAAAAGTAAAGTTATGGATGTCTGCCTTAAAAAGGATTCCCAAACGATTCATCGGAGCGCATCGGGTTTGTAACATTACTCCAGATGTAACATTTCTGGTGAAGGTGTATGATGTTTTCTAAAGGGAGGCATCTTTTTCTGTGTGATTGAGCGGATGCATACCTATGCAAATGCGTGCCGGAACAGAAGATAGGGAGATCCAGAAGGACACCCATGAGAGGACCACCAGCAGGCTTGAAGGGACATACGTCTCCAGGATGAAATACAGAATGCTCCTCTTCAGCTCAAAATGGAAAACCAGCTTGGGGTAATTCCCTTTGAGAAGAAGGACAACATTAATCTGTGCATTCATCTTGCACACACGCACAAGACCGAGATACAATAGAGATATCGTACGGTAAATCACTGCCGTTTCAACGTAACCTGAGTCCTGGGAGGAACACGTAAAGAAGCTACGCTGAATATAGTTACCAGTTTCGTAGACGGCCTCTGAGACTGACGTGTAGTGGTCCTCCACGGTGTACTGAGCCAGCTGAAGAGTGTCTAACCCACTGACAGACTCATTTCCTCTGGTCCAGTAGAACATCACATCATTGATGTTGTAGCCCCCTGTTAAAGGAGAAAGATCATTCAGGATATCTTTATGGTTGATCCTCCTCTGATTCATCAGATAACTGGTCAGAAATAGGAGGAAAAGAATCAGCCAGTCATTCTTTGTTTGAGTTATGCTAAACCAGCTATAAAAGAGGGTTTGCGATAAGTCTCCTTCGTCAATCCAGATATAAAAACGGTAAAAAAATACATGATTTTGAGGATATGTGCGGGGGAGAATATATCATTTTGATGGTCAGACCATGTAACTCAGATGTTTTCTAGGCACCAAAGCATTACATTTTCTCTGACCAGTGCACAACAGCATAGAGCCAGTGTGACTGGGACACCATTCCAGTTTTTTACCCATTTCACAGAAGAAAAACAAAACATTTATCTTACCAAACCCTGCAGTTCCATGATGGCATGAGCGGAGAATGCTAATTGCTAAGAAGCAATGCTATACCCTGATCCTGTTACAGCCGAGTTGTTTGAGACTGCAGCTCATAGTGGGTGGTAAATCCCCACTTATGCTAAAAATCAGCAAAAGAGAGAGACGCTTGGCAAGAATCAAAGGCTACGTGGAAACAACAGCTAGTAAGTCCTCATACTACCCCCTGAAAAGCAGTTGCATAAGCTCTGTGTGTGGTTAAACATTTACAGCGGCAAATTAATCTGACTCGTTTCATCACTGAAACAAACAGACTTTCAAAGGCAAAGGGATTTTTTAAATGCACATATCCGGGGCGTGGCTATTTCCGTTAACGGTATGTGACAGAAACTGCTTAATGCATTTTGGTTTTCATTGAAATGACCATAGGATGGAAAGATGCGGCGGGTTGAGTAGTCGTGCATATTGCACAAGGCCCTGGAGTGCGTAGATAAACGCTGCATAACAATGTCTCATGCACAAAGCAATGTGGCTCTCCTTTTAGAATTTAAGGACAAAAATAAGCCTACACGGCTTAGGTGCATTTTTCTAATTTAGCTGCAGAGGGAGTAAGAGAATAAGTAAAGTCAAGGGATCTGCTGCTGGCAAAAGCTGCCACACACCCCTATCATTTCTTGCCTCAAAAATTCTCATTAATTTGCTGTTGCTCAACCCGTTAAAGCCTATACGGCATCGTGGATTAATGACCAGAGGTGTGATATTGGGAGCACAGCTCCTACATGAAAGGCTGGTCACACTGATGCTGAAATGTCCCTCAAACTGAGTTTTTCTCTTTCATTTTAAGTCGCACAAGACAAGATCTCTTTTCTTTTCTTTTTTTGTCCCATCACCCGCGCTGTGAGAGGTCACATGACTCTGCACATAGATGTGTAATGAGGGGCTTGTGGGATTACATGTGGGATTCTGCCATCTTGTTAAATGTAGACAACTGAGAACTAATAATCGTAAATAGGCTGATTATATCATCCGGGAACAAATATTTAATGAGAGCAGAGTTCGCAAAAAAAAGAATGGCACTGTCCTTTGACTCTTCCGCTGATGGAACTCGCCGAATATTTCACTGCAATCCCGATATAAACGCCCCACACACTCCCACAACAAGGCTCATTTTAAAGCGTCTCCCTGCACAGAGGATCCACTTCTGGCACAGAATTAAAGGAAATAAATCCTTGAATGTATATCTTCATAAAGAGACCCAGGGACAGAGCAGGAGAGAGAGAGAGAGATGGAGATTGAGGGAAGAGGAGGACGGGAGAGGATGGGGACATAAAGAAGCAGAAATAGAGTGTCAGGATGAGAGAGGCTGAAATGGAGGAAAGAGACGGGAAAAGAGCAAAAAGAAAAAGAAGAGGCAGATAGTCGGTCTGGAAGCAGCAATGGAACGATTTCCTCTCTCAGAAACAATACTTAAACCTCCAAATGTCTGTTTTTTTACCAAGTGAGACTAGAGCTCAATTTATACATTCCTTTCTTCTTCTCCTCCCCATTTTTAAAAATAAGTTGGCTCTCTCTCAGTGAGTGAGAGGAAAAGAAGGGCGGGGGCCGCAATATCTTGCAACAATCTTTTGGACTACAGAAAAACATTTCATCATGAACATTAATCTCAATAATTTGCTGTTTTAAAAAGACAGGGCTTCTGCACTTGTGTCTGAGAAATGTCAACATATTCTCCATTTCAAAAGAGGTTTGAAATTGTATGAGCCTTGAACTGTATGTTTGAGTTTACCAACGTCAAACTAGCCCTTCTTTCACCTTTAAAGTGTTTCTTTATGTAAATGTTAAAGGTCTGAGAGTTTGATGAAACACCGGATATCTCCTGTGAGGATGAAGTCAGGGGAGTTTTTCTTCCTTTCATATTTATAGATTCGTATATTTCTGATTTTGAAGGGTTTCAAAAGGTGTCTCAGAAAAACAAATGAACAAAAAGCTGTTCTGATCAGTAACGTGCAGAAGAGGGATGGAAGCACATTTTTTGACATTGCACACACCGTTTTAGAAGAAGTGGGAGGACACATTTGACACACTGAGGATTAAACCAACTACTTACCACAAAAACAGGGTATAGCCCAAACATCAAATTCATCAAAGAAGCACAAACATTTTTAAAAGCAGGGTGTCGTTCATTTAGGTCGTCTATTATTTGGGGCTTTTTCAGTCCTGATGTTGATTCTTTAAGTTTTTACAGCAGGCCGGTTTTGCCGATATATTAAATATTTCATAATAACAAAGAAAAGCGTGTAGGCCAGTTCCAGGTTTCTGGCTAAAATCTAAAATCTTTTGAGACAGCTGAAAATGGCAGCTCAGAGATGCTGTCTACCCACTCTGAAGGGATCAAGAAGACTCAATAGAAAAGCTGAATTAACAGCTTAAATTTACAAAGCTGGTGGACAGCTTTGGCCAAAAGAGCAGCTTCTTTTGATATAACATTGTTTTATCAATTCATTTGATTGAACTGATAGAATATGTAACATTTTTCAATTCTTTCAAGCGCGTTTCCATGTGTTTTATAGAAGAAACTGTCACACTGTTTCTTTTTGCTTTCCCCGCGGAGCGCCGTTTTTGAAAGGAGTGTATCATTTTCGCGGCAATCTTTTCGCTCTGTGTTCACTTTCCCGAACAACCATGACCAGGAGACTATTGCATAATGGCCTGAAATGCCCCCGTGTCTGTTCGCTGACATCAGCGGCCTTATACACACACATGCACCGCCATTAATGCAGAAGATGAGAGGAAGTGATGCGTTTGATCCTGGGGTTTGATCAGAGTCGCTTGAAATCACAGCCGCCCTGCAACTGTCTGCCTCTGCTTCAGGCACGGCGGATCACATTTTTCTCCATAAAGGAACGATTTATCCTTACAGCTCTCCAGTTGTAGTGTGCAGGTCTGCTTGTCCATGGGGTATTTTGTCAGGTCCATGTTGCAAGCCACCGTGGTGGTGATCCTAAAGAACAAACGTGTCGTCATTAAAGAGGGATTGTCGTGAACATATGCAAAAACACGTACCCCTGAGCTGTGTTGTAACAGTTGATTGCATTTGCAAAATGGGTGTAATGTCATATAAAGAGGTACCGTAAATCTGAAATAGTGCTTAGGCTTACCCTTACGCTTCCTGCCCTAAGCTTTCATGTTAAAGGGTATAAAATGAAATAATCTGGTCCTCATTGTGTTTTAAAATCAGGTAAATACGACCACAGATGAAGAACAACACATTGCATATTGGGAAAATCTAGGAACATTCCATATTCAGAAGTCATTTGACAAAAGAATACTTTCATATCCAGTTTATAGTCGATTTTAAAGACTGAAACTGGATATGAAAAATAAAAGATAAAGTAACCTTCTGACTGTTGGCTTCAGCTAAATGTGCTGACACGCTGCTTTGTGTTTGTTTTTTCCCGACGTGACGCGGTACATTGTGAAAAAATAGATCCACTTCTGATTATTTTGTCTGTCCGGATGTCTTGTGTGGCCTTTCGATGCAATTTTACAAACAAAAACTGTTGAGTGTATAAATATTTTTCAACCTTCTGCAGACACGCTTGAATTTTTGTCATTGAAATAACACTCACTACTCTTTTATTTGTTGTTGTTTATCTGGGCTTTATTGACCTAAAAAAAGTATCGTAATTATATCTTAAAGATGTGTCTTTTTTGCCATTTCTATTTGTTAAGAAAAAGGATAGCCTTATAACTGTGGGGATTCTGTCATCCTCCAGAAGGTTTCCTCTTGGATGCGTCGCATTAAGGCGTGAAGTGCTGTGCAGCTAATTAGTTCTTCAAAATGAAAGGCATCTCAGGGCATGCATGAGGCTGTGATCAATGACACGATGCAGCCATGACACGTCACTCCTGTGGACCTTATATCGGCTAATTGAGTGCCGGAGGGAGCCGTTTAGGTACATGACTGTCTTCATCTGCCAGTTAGAAGCTATCACTGTCAAGACTTTCGATTCACTCACCCTTTGGCCAAAGCCATTTGGAATTTATTCATTCAGAGAACAACTGCGTTCAGGTTTTTGGACACATGTTAAAAGATATGGCCTTTCCCTAATTAATTTCCGCTGTTCTAATAATGGCAATTATTTCTAATTAGTAAAATACATATTTTTGGGGAAAATACAGGGGTTTAATGCTGAGACTGAGTATTTGTTGATCAGCAGAGCATCTGATTAAGTAGCATATTCGTGTTTTTTATACAAAACAAATTAAATGGACACTTATGAGCGCCAATAGTGGCACACAGTGTCTCTTTTCGCAACTCCTCAGACAGTGAATTGTTATTTATTTCCCCTGGCACAGCCTTGAAACCTTCACCACAGCCGTCCTTCTCCTCTATCACCTCGTATTTCTCCCTACTCTCTGTCCCTTTTCACGGCTTCGGTTTTCCTCGTGCGGCCGCGCCCCTCCCGACTGTCTTTTCTGGCTGGTTTTTACTCTCGCTCGTCTTGCTCTGTGGCTGTCCAGCTCCCCTCCGCATTCCAGATGCCACAGTAAGAGGCAGAGAGCTATCAGTTCCCTCTGTAGAGGCAAACGGTCTGGGAGGACCAGAGTGCAAACACTCCGGTGCAAACCGATCAAACATCAAGTGGAGTCTTCTCGTTGATAATGTCAAACGCCTCTTGGCAAATTGAACCGAGTCAATTTTTTTATGCTTGCTTAATCTTATTCAAGGACACAAAAGCCATAGAGCAAAATGTGCTCCATCACAGGACTAAGAGAGCATGTGAGTATACATTTATACTCACTTGGTCTAGCTAGGAGGTGAAAGAACAAATTGCTAGACTTCCGGACAGTCCAAATCTGATTTGTCATGTATGAAAACGACTAATCTCTTTCCTCGTTTGGGAACACAATAAACTGTGGGACCATAGTAAATTATCCAGGCCACTTTACGATGACCTGATAGTAACTGATAGTCACACAATACTAAACAAATGATAGGCTTTTCTCATTTGTAATCACTGGACGTGTAACCAGTGTTAATTTGTATACACTGAAGAGGACAGGGCAAAGCCAGATCAGCACCATGGACAGCTCTGGAAACACAATCGCTGCCTTGCTAGAAACTCTACAGCTTCAAACTTTTTTTTTCTTTTTGTTTGGGCCAACAGCTCAGGAAAATGTCCCAAAAAAAGAAAGTGCATGTTTGAAAAGCAAAAACACGTGAGTCACACGTCAGTATTACAGATTTTTTCTGTGCACGGACTCTGTTACAGATCCTACTAAACATTTTGCACGACGCTCAGAGCTCTCTGAATCGACATATCGCATGCTGCCGTGCTCGTAATCCAATAGTAATACAGCAGTACAACACAAATCCCTGCATCGCAATCAAATCATCTCAAATTCCGCCCACACGTTATCCCCCAGCACATTTCTTTTCTATCCTCGGAACAGTTTGGGTTTTTTTTTGTTTGTTTGTTTGTTGGCTGTCGCACAACACAGCAAAAAAACAAACAATCAACCGAGGGGTTATTTGTCATCCTACCTCAACGCATAAAGGACAGTCCCGTTGGGGAAGATGCGGATGAGTCTGTTTTCCACGGTGATGTCGTGCAGGAATGACTTCTTGGAGTCCACGATGAACGTGTCCGGGACCCAGAGCAGCTCCACCAGCCGCCCGTCCAGGCTCAGGCTCTTGTTGCCCTCAAACACCAAGCGCTCGTCTGTCCACCGCTGGCGGAGAAATATGGTGGCCGTGTAGTCCTGAGGAATTGGGGGCCCAGAGTTCGCAGGAGAGCTCAGACTTTTTCTCAACAGGGATATTAATAGAAAGCTGTATGACAAGTCATATTTTTGGAGCGAAGGTTTGATGTTTTTTTATTCTTTTTGAATTTTTTTTATTTTTCTTATCAGATCCAAAATCCCTGCTGAGCTCAAAGTAGCGTTAATCCACAACAGATCCTCGAGTCAGCAGGCGTGCTCTAGTTTTTTGGACACTGAACATATCTTTTGTGTGGCACAAATTCACTCTGACAGCTCTGTTGTTACATCCCGAGCGACAATATAACCTGTTTATTGTGTGGGGCGGCAACACATTTTGAGCATTTTCTCGCTACCAGCAGACACATCTATCATCCAGTCAGAAGATAAACCACAGTCCACTTCTCAACTACTGCGGCTACACGGTCTTTTACATCGTCTGTCCACTGAATTGGTGTTTTAATTCTTTGAGGGTGAAATGTAACGTATTACGATATTTGCATTCATATACTAGTGAGGCTCTTTAAAACTATGTTTTAAGGACAATAATGTGCCAGTGGTCACAGCAACCTACAAAGTTACAGCAACACACACTCATTTGATCTCTGTACCCATGAAGATGTGATTATCTTACCATGTTTATCTCCGATATGGTGTCAATGCTGGCGATGTCCAAGCTCATACCCACCGTTACAGGACCATCTATGAAGAAAGCATAAAGCTATTACTAAAGCCACAACTTTACATTATCGCACAATTCCACAGTGTGTCTCAGTCTACGTTCAGCACTCGGTGTCTGAATCTACCAAATACTTAAGAATCAATGTAAAAATCCACTAATTTTTATCAGAAAGGGGGTTTTCTTCTCCTCTGTGATCCATCATTTTGTTTTTTCGTACTTTTTGACATCCGACTGGTCAATCTTTTGCTTTAATACAACATATAAATGGGGATCACCATCATGCAGATGTGTACCTACAGTGATATGTGGTAAGACAACTAACAACTTCATTTGAGATTTATATTACTGAGTAATTTATGCATATTAACTTTTATTTACAATTACTGGTCTCATGGCAAAGCTGATTTTATTTCCGCCAAAATGGAGTTCTCACATTTCAAAGAAGAATCAAATGAATGCTTAGCCTGTAAAGCCCAGTCGGAGACATAAGCCATTTTTCGGTAAATGGTCACCCCCCCCCCCCCCCCCCCCCCCCACGTGTTCCGTCGTTTCCTTGTCACCTATTTCCTTACTGTCAAAGAAAGGCCTGAGGTACTTGTTGTATCCTTTCATCAGCCTCTGAATGGTGGGTGGGAGAATTTCCCCTTCTTTCACTTCGGCGTTGAGGAACGAGCTCTCTAATAACCTGAGAACAGAGACAGAGAGAGCGGAAAGCTGGGATAAGTTTTTTTTTTCTTCCTTTTTTTGTTTCTCCTCCTTTCACTTTGTGGATTCTACATCAGAAGTCTAAGAATCTGAAGGGTGTCGATTGAGTTCCAAGGCGAGCCTTTCAGGGCAGGTGGAAGAATAGGCATGGCATTAAAATGATCACCGAGGACTAAAACTAGTGGTGAGGGACACAAAAAAGGGCTCCTTTTAACTATCCTATAACTTTGAATTGACCTGGTTTGGAACAAATAATCCATGTGTTTTTCTATTCCAGTTCCGCATTTAAAACGACTGCTCGCTTTCACAGAGATTTTTTTTTTCTGCCCGTCTATCTAAATGCTATCCTTAAAAGCACATTGAAGTGTGGGAAGATGGTTATATTGGTAGCGGCGACGGCAGAGGGGAGAGATTGCTCTTTACGCTTTCCGTGGCGCTGCCTGGGTTTGTGTATAAATCAGGCTCTAAATGCAGAATAGCCGCTCTGCAGAGTGAAGCTTTGAGGCACGTGCCATGATGTGAGAGAGGCTGAAGCTAGGCAGATCGGGCCATGTGCTCGGGCAGAGAAAGGTTCGTCTCCAAACACTGGCATTAGTCTCTCTTGTCACTTGTGCCCTTTTGTAGTGCAATATGTCGGAGGGAAGAGTGGGGAGAGAGAAAGAAACTATTTTCAAAGCCCTCGTGGAATATCCCCTGCTAGAGTGAAAACAATGCACATTGGAAATAATCAGCAATCTGATGTAAATTTGTGTCCTACAGTTTTGTAAAGAATCAACATAATTAGTTTTCAGGCTCATACAGCTCCAGCTGTTGCCTGTGGCTTCTACTAATCACATAATTACAAAAGACAGACTGTCATGATATTAGAAATCCCCATTTGGGCAGCTCGCGACATTATGGCATGATTTATCTGTTCGTATTCTGTTCTGTTTGCCATCAAAAGGCTCCCGATTATGCAGCCAAGTCATCCACAAATGTTTTTCAGCTACATCTAACCTTGATGAGGCATGGTCACTTCATGCTAACAGCCCCATTGTACATCGAATGGTAGTTAGACACATCCTGATTCTTTGATAATGCCACATAAAACCCAATTTGGCCCTTTTTGTAGGGTTATGCGTTATTGCTATTGAAGCGTCTCTGACTTAGGCTAAAGTTGCCATAGTGACATGCTGACATTCTGCAATCATAACGTCACCGTGTTCAGTATTTCCTTTTAACTTTCTGGCTTTATGGCACTTTGAAGAGATAGAGAGAGGTGTTTAAGGTTAACGAATGATTTAAGGATGTATATACTGGCGATCTAAAACTTTACCTCTTAAAATGTTTTAGGCTAAACCACCGATTTGGAGAAGTTATGGAAGCAGCTATCAAGACTGTCCATTCTTTCCTGGGCACTGCTTGAGGCTGGGCCGAGATAATTAATTGAATTTAAGTTGAATGATCGTGGAAAGAAACAACAACTGATGCAGCAAAGCTAAATACAAAAACACCAAGGAAAAAAAATCAAACTAATTTCAATGTGAGGATGAAATGCTTGTCTTGAACACCATAGATATCAATATCAACACTCAGAATTCATGCACGTTTTACTGGCTCATGATGTGGCGATGGCCTGCTGTGCCCCCTACTTTTTACACTCTTGCTTTCAGAAGACAATTCCCTCGAATCCACCGTGTGAACTTCGAACCCAATTTCCGAACTAGACTGGCATCTGTTACAAAGGTAAAAAGCAAAGAGAGGGGGGGGGGGGAAGAAAAAAAAAAACCTGCCAGATAACTTGCTCGTTTCAACTGACTGTGGAGAATGAGCTTAGACAGTGGGGTACCTCTCTCCCACCAGACTGTTGCTATGCTGAATGAAGACTCACTCACACAGTCTGCAGCCTGTTGTTTCAGCCGGTAACAGCCCCGGATGGCTGAGCCATGTTAGTGATGGTGCTTGCAGCTCTGGGCTCCTCGCGTTCTGCATTATCAATCTGGGTCACCCCGCGTGACCCTGCTTACCCACGCAAACGGTTTGAAATGAAGTGTGAGCAGGTGTGCGCTCGGTCTGTGTGGAGGCACAACTGTGAAGCGCAATAATCTAATAAAAGGCAACGAAGGGAAGAAAGGACTCAATTTTACAGGACTGGGAAAAAAAAATTCTTTACTAAGTCTGCACAGGAATATTGACAGATGTGGATTTCCAATTACATATATGTTCGAATGAAAGCAATAGAATCGTTCAATTTTTGTATTCTTCTGGGAACAGAAAAGTATTTTCAGCTGTCATCTCATTCCATCAATCTCTGTAAATCCCCTGACATTAACTTTTAGCTGTCTAAACCTTCACTTGAAGGCGGGGGGGAGGGGGGCCTGAGCCCTCCAGCCTGCCAAACAGTCACTAACCACTGAGCCCTGACAATGGGAAAAAAAAATAAGAGGGGAAAGGCAGGCCTTCAAAATGCTCCGAGACTCCGGATGTCACAAACGCTGACTTAAATTGTTCGATTTACGTGGCGGTCTCGAGGTCAAAAGAGAAGCCAAACTCTAATCACACCCACAAGCAAACGCCCGTCTTATATAAGAGCTGTGCGGGTCCCTCTCTCTCCAGACGAAAGCACGGCGTGATTGCGGGCTGACAGGCCCAACACACCTGCCCACCTATGAGGAAAAAGATGACATGCTCAGTGCCCACGAGCAAGCAGAGGAGGACCTCTGCCTTTCAGAGGGAGAGGCTTTTGCTTTTGCCTCCAAACAGTTCGCGAGCTAATCAGGTCATCGGGAGCTAAACGCGTTCAAAATGTGTTTTTCCTGGTACAACCTGGATCCCCGTTACCTGGAGATCAGTGTACTTGAATTGGTGTAGACGTCCGTGATCATCCCGGGATTTGGTGCAAGGAATATCTGAGAACATAAAGCACCTCATCCCCCAAAAAGTAAATCATCCAAAAGCTATGCTTTAACTTAAAACAGAGTGCCGGCCTCACACAAACTCATAACATGTCAAAGGTTTTACCAGGCGTCCTACTTACTTGGGGGTGAAAAAAAGAGGAATCTATTAATTAGTGTCCACAGGCACCATTTTTGTGCTACCAGACCCGTCAGAGGAGCGCGATGTCACCACATTTAATGAAAGAGTTCCGAGAGGACCGCTAGCAGACATTTAATGGGTATGAGGGGGCAACATTCGAAGGCCAAAGGTGTTTGGAAATGAAGAAACATGTACAACTCTCACGGAAAACACAAGTTATTTTTTTCTGCAGTCTTTCTAAGATGACAAACCGCCTGGTTGAGGTTTTTCAACAACATCATAAGCAACGGTTTGCCATTAAAAACTTTGTAACATATAACTAATGTCGGGAAAAGGAAGTGCTTGGACTAGACTTTTCAGACTTTCTTGGCATCATTGTAAATAACAGATGTTTGCATAGTATTTAAAACAATACATATAAAACATTTGATGTTTAACATTTATCCTATCATTTCTGATGATGCACCAACATGGACATTGATGCTGGTAGGCACTGGCTGATTTCTGTTACTTATAACTTTGAGGCATTATTTTCAGATCCCAGATGATAATATGAAACTAAACGTTAGCCTCTTATTTGCATATTAGCCAATCACAAGCAATCGTCTCCATACCCTCTGAACCTGCAGGAAAAGGAAGTGAAAACGGGAAGCAACGCTCCTTCTGTCCTAGTTTTTGTGATACAAATCCCCTACTCATTAGTGAGGCATTTGGATGCTTCGGCTCTGCGTTGCTCACTCACAGTCTTGTTCACTTGAAATTGAAATGTTCTAATTTTCCTGCCACTTCCTGTTGCCGTCTCACTGTGTAAAACGTCAACGTCTGAAGTTTGTTAACTTCGCGGCGATGGAGATAATCACCCGAAAATGACACAACTACCATGCAAAAGAAGCTTCTTACATTTAGAAGCTGCTCAAATGCTAACTAAAGCCAAAGTTTTTGGTGGGCTATCATCATCCCTGATGAAGCTTTAAAGGGAGAGCTGTATTCAGAGACGGGGCTTATGGAGATGTCCATTCCTAACTTCTCCGAATGGCAAGGGCGGTGTCGAACATAATATTTAGATCATCTAAGCAGCCGTCTACATGACTGACCTCTACCACCACGGCCTCTGAGCCTATATGCACTGTGGGCTACAGGCAATGCTAATGCGCTGGGCCTTCTGATGTGGATGTGCGGGCCGAAAAGTGAGTTCAGGCAGAGGTTGAAAGGGTAGCTTGAAAAGAGAGACTCGAACCCCGTGGCCGAATTTGCTGTTTTAGATTCCGTTTCATGACTTGGGCTTCCGACACATCAGCCCAACCGGCCGCTTCCTCTTCTAACCAGTCTCCAAAGCACACAAGGCACACAAAGTCCGGGCAACCCGTGCACATTTCACAACAGATTAATTCAGTTTAGCACAACCCCTGCAGAGGGCTGAGTTATGCTCTCAGTGGAACCCTTCTCCCCTCTCCTCTTGCCTGTATCCCTCCCACTCAGCAGCTGCAATCGACTCAAACACACTTCTCGCTCTTTTTTTTCAATGATTCATGTCGCTCCTCGCTCCCCGGGCTCCCTCAGCCGGCCTCCTTGTAGTGCAAAATCCCTGAGGCCGTTGGCATGCTTAAATGCTTGAGTCCCGCCAAGAAAACATGTCGGTTCTGTGTTTGGCGAGGGAGTAATTTAATTAAATAGTCCCTTTCGGGGAAAAAAAAGGACAACGTAACTAAGTTTGGATTTCACATACACCTCCATCCCGATGAATTTTCCCCTTTCTCCTTTCATATTACTTTACAAATGTTTGAAAGCTGAAACGCGAAGGCGCGTACTCCTCCTACGCACAACTCCGAGACATTTTGGGCAAATGAGGCCAGTTCATTCTGACAAATCAAAATAAACTACACTCTGCAGCAGCTGCCCGGCGGAAAGGTCAAATAGATAATTCTCCTCAGGCATTTCAACCTATCAGTTTTAAGCCTCCGTGTGAGATGCTTTTT